AAGTTGGTTAATTGGAAATCTCTGTGCACTGAACTTATCAGCAAAGGGGAGGGGGAGGTGTTCAGGCAATTGACTCCCCTCCGCACGGGTTTCCAGTGTCAGGGGATGTGACGGGGTTCACTTGTACTGTGTGGACTAACTGCACCACAAACATGTACCAGGTGTACCAGTCACAGGTGGATTTGAAATGAAAAGTGGTCCTTCCACACTACAGTGAAGCCGGCGAAGTGGCTACACTTGGAGCCAGAGATGTCAACTGGGTTAGACTAGGTCTTTTTGACTGGCTGTTTAATTGACGGGCAAGTTTCTTTTTCAGGTCAGATGAGATCAAGGGGGGTCAAGCGGGCCCATATCTGTCAAGATTTAGTGCTGTCACTGAGGTGTGAACAGGCATGCCCGGTCAAAGGCGGCTTTGAAAATACCTGTTGCCTGAGGGGAAACGACAGAGTTTTCAGGTCCAAAGTCAACTGTTTGTGTACTTGGCTTGAGGTGTTGGTCCACACAGGGTTTGATGATTTGTATCACAGCAGTGTTTCAATCTTTTTTGCATTCTGCTCAAGTTTCCGTGAAAAAAAGTGGGTATAAAATGTTGCTACAAATGCAAAACCATGAACCAAAATTACACTGGGCATGTTTATGACAGCATGAGAGCTTCAACGTTTGGCTTATGTTTCAACTGGCGTGTTCCACTTTGAACTCTGTCAAAAGCTATCTGATTTGGGTGATTGGGAATTGTGTGCCAGGTCCATTTATGAAGAATATTACCCAAACTGGACAGATTTAGAGTGTTCCCAAAATGGTTATTATTCGATTGTAAGTATCACTTTTAGTGCTCCATAAAACAGCAGAAAATATGGTACAACTCTCGAGATCTGTGCTGTTTTCCAGTTGGAAATTCAATTCAAGGATATACATGTAATTACCACATGTATTAACCTCAGAATCAACTTAAAGACTGACTGTTGGAAAAGAAGTACCACGCTGCTTCTGGCTATAAACTCCACGATCTTGGTCTCCACATTATTTGTGGGAATTAGCCTACTGAGATTAATGGCCTACATGTACATGTAGGTGTCAAAGTTGGTACCACCTTGAAGCCTGGCGTATGGGTTTCAATGAATTTTTAAGGTCTTAAATGGCTGGAAATTCCACGGTTGAATGAAACCAGGGAGCCAGATAATCATTGTAGGAGAGCACAGTGCCATTCATGAATCGATCCAGTGAATTTTGGAGGAGTTATATTACAAATGGAGAAATTCTGCACTGGTGTAAATTGCAAAGCAGTTTAAGTTTCAGACTTAATAACCTGTAACTTACTGCTCAGGGAGCCAAGGCAAATGGTTGAGAGATTTGGAGTGTAAAATTAGCCAAGGAGCTGAAATAAAACTGGAAAAAGGACCCAAATTTTTCAGTATTCTCTCACTTCGTACAAGGAATTTCGATGAACGTGCTGCTCAGCCCCCCACACCAAAAGAGGTGAAAAATCAATACGGATTTTAAGGCGACAAAATGTAGTACATGAAGCCATATGACATAGATTTGTTACAGCAGTTTGAGAAGACCTTCACAATTAAGTACGGTAGTTATATTTTCTCAGCAGTGTGAAAGTTATAAAACATTCCCTGTGCTTTGGACCAAGACCTACGTATGCCATGAGGGTCACAGCATATATGTGTGCACGCAGATAAAATTGTACGATACATACCCGCACATGTTCCATTTCAAATTTCACTGCCAAAGATGACTTCAACTTCAAGGCGCTCTGCTGTTTTTTCTTACATTTTTTACCCTGCGCGCAGTGCCGCGCACAGCCACAGTAGCGGCATCCAAGTTTCTTTTCTTTTTTTTTTTGGTATGTGGAGCAATGAAATATTCTGCTGGAAAAACATGGCACTTAATTCAATTTACGAATCCTTTTTCCAGCCGTGCCCAGTTTGTTTTCCTAACCAGGAGGTGAAGCCGTAATTGTCACTGAACAAACTTTGGCCATGGAAGTTTTTACGGGACCACCCATAAAGCCACTGACTCACTTGTCTGTGACCGTTTAACACAAAAGAGGTATCCGACATTCTTCAGCATTCAGAGTCACCTAAACAGACTGAATATGGGGCGAGGCAACAATGGAGGTGGGGGGGGGTGGGAGGTAAGGGAAATGCTAAAGGTGTGCCGTAGTTAATGTTAGAAAAGCAAGCAACTGAATGCTGTCGATGGCAGATATCAGAACTGGTAACAGGTGTCTCTTCCCGAGAAGTTAGCTTAATGATTAACTAAAAGCCAGAGTTTTATTTAACATTCTCATACCCAGGGAGGCCTCCTAAGATTTGGCCAAAAAGAATAGTCTCTGGACTGGTCTTTTTGAAATTGAGCATGCTTGAAAACACATTTCAATTGAGTGCCATACATTCAGTTTCGATTTGGTCTGATGCGACTGGTTTTGTTGTTAAGGCGGTCAATTGTTCACAGGCTCACTTGTGCAACGGGCATATCAACATACAAGAACAATTAAAACATCTTCTTCTCTGCAAAACGGGAGTTACGTCAGAACGGTATGTCCAACTTTCATGAAATTGGTGTCAAGATGATTGGAAGGCATTACTAGAAAACTCTTGAAGGCTCAGCGTGAAAAAAAAAATGCACTGTGAAGCATGGATTCTGCTTCCTGTCTGCCTGGCTTTTGATAAGGCTGAACTGACAGCTCATTGCTACTGTGCATAAAACCAGGACATCACCAGGCCTGTGTAAAGGATCAGTACTAGGGCTGTATGGTCGCGAATCAACCATTATTAAATTGAAAAAACCTGTGGCAGGGTTTTAGACGGATAACGTGTGGGATTAACACCAGACCTGACACAGCATAATCTTAAACTTTTGTCGAAGTGCCAAAACTTTTTGTGGCCTTTCATAACAATGTTCTCAGTCTGATTCTCCTACATGTATGTCGCTCTAAAAAATGGCGAGAGGGGAAGTAAAAAGCCACTCTGTTTCCTTCTCCCTTCCGAGGGTGTGACGTGAACTAAGACATCAAAAGCAGCGCCCTCGGTGGGGGGCATGAATGACGTTGTAGCAATAATGGAACGGGTTTCAAAAGAGGACTACGGGGGGAATTTCGTTGTTGTTGTTTGCAAATGTGTTTGCAAAGCCATCCACGTCACTGAATGTTCCTGTTTGCGCAGAGGGCATAGGAAAATGTGTCCGCTTTTCACTGAATCGGTCCACCGTGGTTAATGTGCCAAACCCCCGACGAGCATGCATTCTATCTCTTCACAACACATTCTGTAGGGTCAGGGCTTCATTGAAAGCTGATGCTCTGACCGGTGCTAACCCCTACCTTAATCGGAGCAGAACACTTTTCTTAATGTGCATTTCAAAATCACAAGCGTAAAAATTTGTTGATCTGGGGGAAAACAGAACACAAAACGAGCAGACTGCCTTGTACCCACTGATCCAAGAAGTGGTCGGGCTTTTTTTTGGGAGGGGGGGAAGATATCAATTGTGTCTGTTTCCTGGTCTTTTGGGGTGGTTACGGATGTCAAGATATTCAGGTTTGATGTCAAATACACAATTTTGATTTGTAAGTACATACCTATAAAGACGAGAAGACACACAACAACGAAGCTATCTTAGAATGCGAAAATCAAATGAGCCCCCCCCAAAAAGGAAATAAAAAAGGCATTAAAACCACCTCCCAAGAGCCCCAAATAATCCACAGTCTTTTGTGTAACATGAGTAGGAATGTTATATTGTTGGGGTCTTAAGTGACAAACCAGGTATGAAGTGACAGACTAGCTGAATGACAAGTCTTTCCCTCAATTTAACAGCCACACTGGGGGAAAAAGTATACCCCCACAACATTCTCCATTGCACCCTAGGGAAGCTTGGGGTTCTTACACCTGAACAATGGCCCACAAAAAATGGCCAATCGGGTTAAGAATATGAAGAGGCATGTCTTGCCCGTGGGGGTAGTTAAGAGGGGGGGCACTCGGGACTTGCCTGCCAGAATTGTTGGCAAATTGAAACTACAAGAGAGGCACATGTACATGTACTCATAACTCAAACTCTTGTCAGTCACTCAAGTCCAGCCATGTCTACCCAGACACACAGAGTATTCACAGATTAAGAGAAATCACAGAATGGGAAATCTTTCTCCCATCCAGAGAGGTTCATTCACACTTGGGGAAACTTCATGATTGGTAGAAAAAAAAAAGAAAAAAAAGAAGAAGAAAGAGAAAGAACAGGAAATCTTCAATTCCACACAATTTACTTTACACAATTAAATACCACAGTTTCAATTGAACTTTAACAGATGAGGGTCTTTCCTGTGGAGAAAAAAACCCCAATCCGACAAGTTTCCAGAGCCGAGTCCACTTTCCGCTCCTTGCTGGGAGTGGCACTTTGTAAAATTTTCTAGACACAGGTGAAAACCTTGCACTGGATGCGGGGACATCCACTTTACTGGCACACGCAAAATGTTACATGTCTCTTGAAAATTTAAGCTTCATGGGCATGCAGGGCTAGAATATTTGTAAATAGGTAATTCCAGAAAATTTGGGGTCCAAAAATGGAACACTTTTGTGTCCCTGTTACATCTGACCTTTGTTACTTGACACAGGAATATCACCGGAATTGGTTTCAAACTATTATTACTATTACTATTATTATTGGCAGATAATTTGCATAAATTGATCACTCTTGGAAATGAGAAAATGTGTTCTGAACTTGCAAAATCATATGTCAGATGTAATAGGGACACAAAAAAAATGGACCCCTAATTTCTGGAATTACCCAAATATGATTCTCTTGAATCATTATTAGCAAACAACTAACGCTGTCCTACAGCATTCCTACTCTCCCTGCTAACCTACATGCAGTGTGGGTGGCCAACAGAAACTGGCGCAGAGGCTCTTGCACAAATTTCTGTATTGTTCACAGCTAGCCAATTGTGAATGGCACAAAGATGCCTATGTTTTCAGTAAAGTTCTTTATTCTCCACTTTTCTGCAGGGATTCAAAGATTGTCGGCCTGCGTACTTCGGAGCTGGGCTTTTCACTGCTGCCAAGGACGACTTTGCTGACCAAATCGCTGGGTCCGCCGGTACATCCGAGAGACTACCATTGAGAGATACCCTCCCTGAACTCATATCTTGGATTCTGTGAAGTGGCCTCCAATAAAGGAGCCATAACATCCACTGATAAGAAACGTGTGGGTGGGACAAACCTGAGAGACGCATTCCAGTTACCAAGCTACTGAAAGGAAGTTGCTGGACAATCTTTGAGAGCCCACTTCAGAATTAGCACAGTACCTCTCCACATTCATAGCAGACCAGGATTCTGAATAAACTGAAACTTTGACATGGAGATTATCCGCATTGTTGTATTGTTGGGGGTGGTGCATGGAGTTGTCTCAGCGCGTGGAGCGACTCGATCTTCGATTTCTAAGGTAATCAACCCGGCTGAAGGTCCAACTTCAAGCCCTGAGGGACACTGTGGATCGTGCTGCATCCAGGGCCCCCCCGGCCCCCCAGGGCCCCCTGGTACTCCAGGAGCAGCTGGTATGCCGGGCATCCCCGGTAACCACGGCATGAATGGGATTCCGGGCAACCCCGGCCCCAAGGGGGATGCGGGCCAGCGAGGGGAGATGGGGCCCCAGGGCAGCCCTGGCTCAAGCCTAGCGGGTTTTGCCGGTTTGCAAGGTCGGTCCGGGGAGAGAGGCTCCCCTGCCGAGCTGGAGGCCAACCTCCTCCGGCCGCTGTCGAGCGAGGCCAGCGCCGTGCCCCATCCCCCGACCCGCTCCGCCTTCTCGGCTGCCCGCATGACCACCATCGTCGCCCCCAAGAACCGTGACCTCAACATCCCCTTCGAGCACGTCTTCAGCAACATCGGCAACCACCTGGACCCCACCACGGGCATCTTCACGGCGCCAAAGCGAGGTGCCTACATGTTCCTGATCAACATCCACATGGCCTCCACCACCAACAACCCCTACGTCAAACTGATGCACAACAACCAGATGCTGCTGTCGGTGCACGACTACGACTCCAGCGACGCTTACGACTCGGCCAGCAACAGCCTCATCGTGGAGCTGCAGGAACGTGACCAGGTCTGGTTGCAGCTGGACCAAGGCAACGAGGTCCACAGCAACACCAACCGCTACACAACCTTCTCCGGCTACATGTTATTTGAACTACCCTAGCCCCTCCGACACATCCGCACAATCACACCACGGAGGTATTTAAAGAGTGAAGTTTAAACATGTCTTGTGTACTGAAGCAAAGGTTAAGTAAAGTCTGCCCCAAACTAGTTAGGGATGGGGTTGAAATCAGTGTACATGTATGTAGCTGAGACCGTCACTTGTTCACAAGACCAGTCACAAGAACAGGTAACAGGGTGAACAATGAAAAAAAAATGCTTTTCTTGCAGTTTGTTGGAATAAGCTTACGACTTAAATTCAGACCGGAGGTCTCGTGATGGTCCTGTGGGGTTTTGTAATGATCCTAATGGGCCTTGACTACTACACCCCGTAGATATGCTAACAACACAGGGTCTCTATGGTGGCATTTTGGACTAAATATAACCCTCGGATGGTGACATTGCCTGAGTAGTACTCAGGACTGAGTGACAGCACTGCGTGGTCAAAAATGGACAGTTTTGGGAGGAACAAAAGTGCACGTAAGAGCAAAAAATGAAACTCTTGCCTATTACATACACGTAGAAGTATGAATGATGTCACTCGGAAGAGGTAACCTGCTTGGCTGGTACTTTGCAGCTGATTTCACAATGAAATAAAACAAAACAAACTCTGGGGAAAGGAGATGCAGTATTCATTTGAGTATTTGTGTAGTGTCCCTGTGCCCTTAACATTAACAATGACTCATTGGTACATATACATACATGTGCGTGTACATATACCTCAAGTGTAGTACTCAATAGAGGTTCACACCAGACTCAGAAACTATACAAAATTTGTAAGCATTTGTTTAATGTCAATGCCAGAGGGGGCTGGGACGAAAGGGTCATTCTATAAATTCAGGGTCCCAAAAGTGTGACATGTTTGGGTCCCTGCTACACCTGACCTGTGTCTTTTGACCTGGACACCTGTCTGTCACTGAAATTGATTTTGAACTACATGTATTTCTCTTTGTTTAGAAGAGAATTCACATCTCTTTATCACTCTTTGAAATTAGGTATGTGCTCTGAATTTACAAAAATCCTATGTCAGACATGACAGGGACACAAAAAGTGACCCCCTAATTTACAAGAATGACCCAAAACTTAAGGGATTCTAAAATTACAATGTAACTGTGTAAATCATAAACCATGACTACAAAATTACCAGTTGGTGACCTCATTAAAATGGCACATTACACAGGGATGACAACATGGTGCTGTTTGTACATGTATATTAGAGCATTTTAAGTGTAGAATGTCACCAAATTCAGGTACATGTGTGTTGTAGTACATGACCACAATCAGTTGTACATGTAGTTGAGACCAGACACAAGACCATGCACAAGACCACAGATGCGACCACGGGACAAGACAAGTCACAAGACCACGGACAAGACCAGTCACAAGTAACAGTGTGAAAAATGACAAAGGAATGCTGTTGGAGTTCAGTTGAATGGCTGGTGACTTGAATTCAGACTGGAGGTCTTGTGTTGGTCTTGTGAAGGTCTTAAGTGGTCTCGACTACATAACTGACCACAATATGAGGGGACTGTAGCTAATAGTCATTAACCAAATCTCAAATTTTCTCCCTAAATTGGGTTCTGTATGTGTACATATATGTATATAAAAACGTACATGTAAGACGACTTGGGTTATTATTCGTATTGCGTAAAATCTCTCTTAACTTAAATCACAACTTAATTGTGTATTTTCTAAACAAAATAGGTTGCCATTAAACATGAAAGTTTCTTGTCAGATTAATGTCATATTTATGTGAAATTTTCTGATATGTAACTGTATGCAATTTCTGTATCGTGTGAGATTTGAGACTCGATGTTATTTAAAAGATATACTACTGCAGAAAAGACGATACTTGTACAAAAATATTGTCTCCTTTTTGTCTTCTGACTGTGTTAACTGTTTTGTAGTACAAATTAAAAAATAGAGAGACTGAAATCATAACTTTTTTATCAATCTAAGTTAATGCATTATGCAGTTAGGTTACTGCTGGAAAGCTTTAACACATGTATATGAGGGGTACACAAAGCTACACATTTGAATTGACAAAGCCAAACACTAGCTTGAGGACACCTCCCAGACACTGCCGCCAGGGCACTTGTTTTGAGCACTACCCGTACAGGGACAACGCTGCTACAGGTGCCAAAACGTCAGTGATCTTCACAAATCTTTACTTCCAACCCTCTGCAGTAAACATCCGTTTTTCTAGCCTTGTTTTAAAGATGAAGTTAAGTGAAAAAGACGGAGAGTATACATGTAGATGTACCCAGTTCCAAGTCTGCATTATTTTCTACTGGTGGCTTTCTCCTGACTTCGGAAATATATAAAGCAGTACCTTTTTCTACATTTTCTCCAACTTCTCGTGTTTGACTCAGCCTTTCCCCCTTGACCAACACAGTACCTAAGTCGTTCAGGAAATTCCTGAAAATTTGCGACATTTCCAGAACGTGAAAACCCTCACCTCCCTAGCATTTATTTTTCAAAAAAACCTCCCTCCCCGATTAGAATGGTGCTGGTAAGCAGCATACAGCCAGATAAACGACCCAAGATGCAGCAGGATACCAATAGCATTCATTCACAAACAAATTGTCAAGGCTGATCAAAATCAACAGGCTACCGGTATTTCAGAGTTTTGAAAATAAAAAAAAAAGAGAGAGAGAGAGAGCTTCAGGAGAAAGGAAGCAAGCCCCCTTTGAGCCACTGTCATCTGACAAGACTGGGATCTACCGTCATTTTAATCCCAAACATGCACATGTACATTTGCCTTCGGATGACAGCAGTGTGGCAAAAGTTTGTTCCCCCCCCTAGCTATGCATGGACGTTTTACATCAAATGTTTGCTTATTTCTTCTGTATTATATTCTGTCAGGTTTATTTCAATTCTACTGGTATTGAATGTTTTGCATTGTCTGGATTTGAAATAAACATGTATTTGTAGGTGAACTTGAACAATGCAGTGGTCTTGTCAATATTTTCCATGTTGTTATCTTGACAGTTATTAGTTTTTTGGTTTTTGGACATGAATGATTTAGCACAGAGCTGGTGACACTGCCCATGTCAAGTTAAAGGTTACCAACTAAAGTCGAATGGCAACCAGACTACCAGAGTGATTTATCATACATAAAACTATAGACACTGCTTAACAAAGAGAATGGGGGGGTGGAAATTGTATGGTATTGAGAATGATTTACTGGTATTATATAGGGTACCTGGTAGCACAGATGGTAACCAGCATAATTTACCACACAGGATGGTGGGGGGGGGACACTTTCTAAAAGAGAACTGTTACCATACTACTGGTACCACCTGCAGAAAGGACACCAGTGAAGCCAGTGGAGGGGGGGGGAACTTTTTCCACTGGGGTGTAAAACTAACATGATTTATCATGCAGAGAACTAATGATATGCCTCTAATGGAGTGAAAAGTTACCAACTCCTAGTCAGCTGGTAACCTCCGCGCCTGAATATGACCCACGATACAGGGAGGTACATTGTACACGTAGAAATAGCTGGCCGAATCTCAGTAACAAGCAGTTGTGTGTCAGGTTTGGAGCAGGTACTCTATTGGCAATGTGCCACATAACTGCAACAGGAAGAACGCACCATCCACATGTACTCCGGCAAGAAATTGTGAAAAAAAGGTGGAGACAGATGAAGAACTTGACTGAAGGCAACATTTTTGAGTCGTCCTCAACGCATCATTCCAAGTACATGTACGTGTACATGAAGTGTTTAAAAATATTGCTTCAGAAGGCCCATGGCCATCTGGGGGGAGGGGTTGGATACAAATACAAGGCCCATGGCCATCTGGGGGGAGGGGTGGACGGGAAAAAAGGGAAGGGGAACATCGGATAAAGGAGACTGCTGGAATGAGAGATAGTGTCCATTTTTTTTAGGCTTAGTCATCTTCATTTGTTGACCTGAACAGGATTTGAAAATGACCAATGGCTTGTCACTGTCTCTGCCAAGAAGTGTGGGCATCTGTTATTTCCTGGTTGAGCGTCCCACGTGAAGGAAATGGAAACATGACATAGGGCCAAGTGTCATCTTGACCCGGTTTGGAGGTGGTCAGCCCCGTGACAAAGATGGAGTCACGATAATCATGGCCCAGGGGCCAACTGAATGCCAAGAAATAATTTGTTGCGTGCGGAAGAGGGGAAGTCAATTTTCTAAATTGCGTGTTGGGACCTACAGGTGGGCTTTGTAAAAAAAATTAAAAAGATAAAACAGACTGTTGAAGAGTTGATCTGAAATCTGACCTACGAAAAAAAAGCGAGGTCATGGTTTTTCTGAAAAAAAAAAAGTCTAGTGGGGAAGGTCTTTGGGGAGCTGGATGTGGAAGCTGTGGTGAAATGATGCCATCTGGTGCCATTTTCTGAGTCGGAAAGTGCAGAGTGAAAAGCAGTGGCGATAAGGTAAAGGTAGGACACTCAGGAGAGATACACTGGGAACGGGAAGGGTGGGGGGAAGGGAGGGAATTGCCCCTGGAGACATGCTGCCAATTTTGTTGAAAGGAAATGAAAGTGCCAGCATTTAATAGAAACAGACCTTCCATCTGATGGGGGGAGGGGGAAAAGGACTCATTTACAGATGGAAACATTTCATGACCTGGATAGCCACTGAGTATGGCTCTGCTAAGGACCGCACAGGTCCCAGTGTTAACTTGAAGCATGGGGAGATTACCTTGGTCTGTGAGTATCATCTTCAGCAAGCCTGGTGCTTTTTGACACTGATCTCCTAATCCATGCTCCCTCGATGAGCTGCGCTGGGTTTGGCTGGTCAGCTCAACTGGTAGGTTTAGCTCTGAACTGGACAGGGATGGAATTCTCAAATCCCTACCGCTGACACGCATACGACACCATGATAAAAACTTGGCCATGTCAGGGGCAAACTTAAAATCTCCAAAACTGGAAGGAAAATTAAAGAGAACAAAGGCAGGGGACAGACCTGTATCACCGTAACCATGCAGGAAATGACTGCGCAGACGTGACTAATTTCTGGGGGTTCACTAAAAAGATAATATTCTTTATTTGGTGTGCTTTGAGATTGGAAGGGAAGTGTAATTGAGATGGTTTGATTTCTAGAAATTACTCCATATCCTGCTGGTCAGTGACACTGCACAACCACACACATACTTGTTTGACATACAAAGTGTGGACTTTCCTTTGTTCTCCTGTGGTCAAGGAAACTTGAGGAAAATGCTCCTTTTTCTCTAACTACGATAACTCCTTTCGAGCTGGATTTTTGATGGTGATTCCCTGGACTGTTCCTCTTCATTTTGCAACGGATAACCTTGACCACAAAATGCCTCTGAAACTGTTTTTCAAAGGGGGGAACATTGTGTGGACGTGTGCGAGTCCACACTACGCCATCGCACCCTACATTATGAGGACTTCTTTTGTGCAGAGGTCCACGCTATGTATGGCACGCCTGCACATCCTGTCAGAGGTTGTGCGCTTTTACATGGTGCCTTGTGGGGTACCGAACAATGGAAGGTACCCCACAAGGCCAGTTTTGATCCTTGTGGGGTACTAAAGTGGTGCCCCACAAGAATTTCACGAAATAGATATTTCAAATTTACTCAAAAAGGAGGAATTTTCAAGTGCTATTCATACATGCATGTCGCAAATTGAAGCGTTTTATATAAGGGACATACGGTCGAAATTTCAACCCAGGAAACTGAATTTGGTTGAAATGGCAGTGATTTGAATTTTTTTCCGTGTTGTGTGGGAGTTTTATACATGAGAACAAAGGAAATACCTCACAAGTATACATATGTAACGGTGTGTGTACATGTACATGTATACTGTACATGTATGTGCATATGTACACATTGCAACACACGGTGGTCGCCGTTTTGCACGTTTATGCGTGAAGGACACAGAAGAGATACGCTCGAGTGAACAGTGAGGGTCCAAGCTTGCTCTTACTTTCCACTGATGGTGCCCGAGGGTAGATCCTGAGGTGAATTTTTTTGGGGGGGCTATACAATTGTGGAATTTCTAAGAATCTCTCTGATGGGTTTAGGTTAGATTTGGGGACTTTTTACACGCTTTTGGAAGGAAGGTAAATGAAACATATTTACTTCCTGAAGCTGCTATTTTCTTCAAAAACAGAGGTTGGCCCGGGAGGGGGGTAGGAAGGGATGGGAAGGGAAGGGGACCATGACCCCCACAGGCCCCTCTCTGGAGTGGCACAAGGTCACTTATGAAGTCCAAACCACACCACTCTCCAGTTTAAAAAGCACAATGTTAAGGTTCAACTTCCAGCAATTACGGGGGATTCCTTTGCGGAAGAAAGATCAAGACACATGTTGAGACAAGGTTGAAAAAAAAAACCCCAAAAAACAAGACGACAGACAGCTGAGAATTGAAACATTCTAGGGGCTGGATAACCTGTCGGGGACGTCACTTGCGGTTTAGGGTGTGCATGTTCGGAGGCAGGGGGATTAACCTGGATTAGTCTAGGGCCGGTAGCCCCCGGGGGAAGTGGTTAATACATGTGTTGAGGGCAACACATGAATTGTGCATGTCTTGTACTAAAGACATCAAGCCAAAGGTTATAAGAACTGATCCCAGTTTTTTCTTTGAAAGTTGTGATAATGTCAGCGACGGAAGGATGAGGGCATCACTGCAAATTAAGCCGGGGTAATCAGCGTTGGTAATCAGCTGCAGGGGCAAAATAAGACGTCCAAGGTCGATTCGACACGGGTGAATTCCGCAACGGTACTGCCAAAATGAAGAAATCCTCGCCTTCGTTGGGTTTGGATGTCTCCAAATTTAGGATTCTAATCACTACTGATCCAGGAATTATTATCCAATTCTGATCCAACTCTCATTTTTTCCGGGACAAAGAAGAAGACAAAAACTGAATAAACCTGACGATGTGCTGCATTGATGAACTGCGAAGATGAAGTCAGCGGCAGGTGGAAACTCAGCTGCAGCCTAGCAGCAAGACAAAATTTCAGCCAGCTGTTGCAATGTTTGTGGTGTGAGGAAACTACTTGAACATCCTTCTGCCGGGCACAAAATGACTTATTCCATTAAACATGACTACCAAAAGCCTTGTATGTCTCGACGTCGCGGTGCTCAAAAGCAATCTGTTCTCTGACTGGTCCATTTAACTGATGTGTGGAGTTTTGTTTTCTTCCTAGAAATCTCCGACCTGAGAACTTTGTACAGCAGCCAAACTGTCCCGAGACTTGTCTGCTGTCATCTCAAACTGACACTCGGACAACTCGACTTGACCGGTTATTTCTCCTGCTCATTAAACTCAGCACTTGGCGATTCTCAATCAACTCAAAGCAGCAGTGATGAACAGAAAAGAGAGATAAAAAAAGGGAAGACGTTTACAACGCGCACATGTCCACCAGCGCTGGGGCTCAAGTGGCTGTTGCTCATGAGCTATCCCTTGCTCATTGAGCCCATGAACACTCCTCGGTCTCAGCTCCCTAGAGAATGAACATGCACAGCTGACTCGTCAAGTACAGTAAGCCTCTGTGCCCTGAAGGTACCCATTAACACACCCCTGGGTGGTGAGAGCAGCAAGTTGGAGTAGAGTGCCTTGCTCAGGGTCACAGCATACACGTTTGTCCAATTGCTGGGTTTGAACCGCTCACCCAATAATCGGCCCTTACAAACCCTAAAAATGACTACCAACAGAATTTGTCATTTCACCAACTGCCCTGAGTGAACTGTCTTCAATGTTTTGTTTTCCCCGTTTGGTGAACAAAGATTTACAACTTAATTTTTCCTAATTTTTATTTTTTACTTTTTTAAAATCATGAATCATTTTCCATACTCTTACCATTTTATATTCCCTTGTTCTGATATGTGATGCTTTTAGATTATTGTAAATGGGGTTTTATCAGCGACCCTGATGTGGCTGCCTTCCCTGTATATTTCAATTGAATAAACCAGAATAAATAAGTAATAAACACAAAACAACGCGTCTCACGTACACAAACAAGTACAATGAACAAATGCTGACATCCTACTACGGCAAGTCGGGAATTTCTTCCTCAGGAAAGGTTGGACTTACCTGCAGCCAGGTGTCGATCTGGATGGACTTGATCCCTTCCACGAGCGCGTCATACACCTCGCTGCACTGGCCATAGTCGAACCACAGCGTCAGCAGGCGCAGGGTGTCCTGCAGGGAGTTGCCCCGAGACAGCGCAATGGAACGGAAGAAGCCCTGGACGGCCGGCACGGCGTACTTCTGGATGTAATTCTGCACAGCCTGTGGAGGGAGAAAACAAATGGACTATGGTAGGAAATGAACTTGAGAAGTTAGAATAGTGCATCGGTGCCCAACCGACTAGGCAAAGCATACTTCTCAATGTAATTCTGCACAGCTTGCAGGGACCAAAACACAGTGGACCAGAGCAGGATTTGAACCTGGAACGTCTAAAACATTGCACAGGTGCTCTGTTAACTTAAATTGGAGTCAATACATTATATGGAATCCTTAAGCAGAAGCAAAGATCTAGCTGAGATAGGGAAAAAGGCTCAGGAACTCAGATCTAGCCACGATAAGGAAAAAAACTCAGAAACTCAGATCAAGCAGAGATAAGGAAATAGGCTCAGAAACTCAGATCAAGCAGAGATAAGGAAAAGGCTCAGGAACTCAGATCTAATCACGATAAGGAAAAAGGCTCAGGAACTCAGATCAAGCACAGATAAGGAAAAGGCTCAGGAACTCAGATCTAGCCACGATAAGGAAAAAGGCTCAGAAACTCAGATCAAGCAGAGATAAGGAAAAGGCTCAGGAACTCAGATCTAATCACGATAAGGAAAAAGGCTCAGAAACTCAGATCAAGCAGAGATAAGGAAAAGGCTCAGGAACTCAGATCTAATCACGATAAGGAAAAAGGCTCAGAAACTCAGATCAAGCAGAGATAAGGAAAAGGCTCAGGAACTCAGATCTAATCACGATAAGGAAAAAGGCTCAGGAACTCAGATCAAGCACAGATAAGGAAAAAGGCTCAGGAACTCAGATCTAGCCAAGATAAGGAAAAAGGCTCAGAAACTCAGATCTAGCACAGATAAGGAAAAGGCTCGGGAACTCAGATCTAGCCAAGATAAGGAAAAAGGCTCAGGAACTCAGATCTAGCCAAGATAAGGAAAAAGGCTCAGGAACTCAGATCTAGCCAAGATAAGGAACAAGGCTCAGAAACTCAGATCAAGCAGAGATAAGGAAAAAGGCTCAGGAACTCAGATCTAGCCAAGATAAGGAAAAAGGCTCAGGAACTCAGATCTAGCCAAGATAAGGAAAAAGGCTCAGAAACTCAGATCAAGCAGAGATAAGGAAAAAGGCTCAGGAACTCAGATCTAGCCAAGATAAGGAAAAAGGCTCAGAAACTCAGATCTAGCCAAGATAAGGAAAAAGGCTCAGAAACTCAGATCTAGCAGAGATAAGGAAAAAGGTTCAGGAACTCAGATCTAGCCAAGATAAGGAAAAAGGCTCAGAAACTCAGATCTAGCCAAGATAAGGAAAAAGGCTCAGAAACTCAGATCTAATCCAAAAATGAAAAATAAGGTGGAGATTTTGGAAAAAAAAATCCCACAATGGTTATTTTACCATCTGAGGTGAGACCGGCTGCTGCTGCTGCTGCTGCTGGAGGCTGGCATCCTCGATGGGTTCCGCCTCGGGCTCTTCCTCTTCCGCTCCCTCCTCCTCCCCTTCCTTCAGCACCTGGTCCCGCCCCTCTCCCTCCGCTTCCTCCCCGACCTCCTCCCCCTTCCCCTTGGGCGTGCTGGTGGCTGGGGGCGGGGGCAGGGGTGGGGAGCCGGATGCTGACTGGAGCTTGTAGTACAGGGTGGCCTCGTAGTTCATGAAGGCCCAGGAGTGCCACGCCTTTACAAAGAAACAGCATCAATGAATTTCCTGCCTGCCAATGTGTTGAAATACCTCAGTGGTACAAATTTCATTCATGATTCATCTTTGTCAATATCCTATTCAGTCCGCTATAAAAATGCACTGCTATGAAATTAGATGGGTCATTTGGTAAGTGGCCATGTCTTGCATTGGACAAAATATTTCGTGTACAATGTTGTTTCACAGAGGGCAATATGAAGTCTTTGGTGCCCTTTGATGGTAAATATTTTGTAGACTATTTGTTCTAAGTGGACAATATTTTTCATATAGACACTCTTTGTGGATTTGATATCTGGTACTGTTTTCTATAAACTGCTCAACACTAGAAAGGTATTTAACAGAAAGAGCTTGATTAGATCACCTTCTGATTTGTGTAATCAAAATACTTTGCTTGACAGTAGACAGCACTGATGTTTGTTCAGAAATGTGGTCTTGTTTCTGGACTTGTGCCCCATACCTTATACCAGTCTCTGTCATGCTCTGTGGCCTTGCTGAAATAAACCAGACTGTCCTCGATGGTATGCTGGCTGGTTCCCTCCAAACTCTGTTGCCATTCACCCAGCTTCAGGTAACACCTGGGGAGGGAAATTGGCTGAGTGCCAGTTATACTTTCAAAAATGAAACCGGCCAAATTTTTAATAAATGTAGCCAAAGCCCGAGTGACCAAGACTTTAAAAAGCCACAATGTTGGGATCACAAATCTTGAAATCTGGAGCAATGATGACACCCCTGGAAACAAAATGGCTGCCGGGGTGTCCAACGACTGTCGAGACATCTGGCTAACACACTGTGTCCTACCTCGCCATGAGCTTGTGCAGCTCCCTGCGTTCTGTCTCCTCCGTGGAGCCCAAGCCGCTCCCCATGTGCTGGGTCAGGGTAGAGTGCACAAAGTGGTGGAGCTGCTCAAAGGCCTGCGTCTGGTCAGCGGGAAGGAAAAAAAAGTGCACTTTGTTTACAAAACTGCCAAAACTTGAGGTGAAAGGTACAGTCTATCATTTGCGTATCATATTCCTTTGAGGCAATAAAATTTCTCGGAGTCCAAAGTGGGGTGATCAGGAACAAACCTGATGAAGTTTCAGCTCAGTGGACACTGTTCATTCTGAGCAAAGCAATACTCCGGGATTTGAATTTCAGATCGAACGTCACGTCACGGTTTGAACTACGCCTGAATTCGGCATCTTGGTTTCGATCGATTTTTGGTTGATTAAGAAACTGAGTGTGATGGTTTCTGGATCCTTGTGTTTCCTGTGAAATATGTCTTTTAGACAATTTTTTTGTCTCCCGCTGCCACAGATATGCTTGTTTCGCATACGTGGGGCCTGCTTGTTTCACGAGGCACCAGATCGCGATCAGTGATCTGCAGTTGCTTCACTGCCTAATGAATAGCGCAAACCAGCTCTGGGATCCCTGATCGTAATCCAGATCCGTGGGAAACAAACAGGCCCATAGTGTGGACATTCCTTAGTTCTCTGTGATTGGAAAGTCAGGGGAAATGCTCCTTTTTCTCCCACTCTAACAGCTCCTTGAGCTGGATTTCTGATGATAATGATTCCTGGACCATTCCTCTTAAAATTTTACAACACACAGCCCTGACTCAAAAATGCCTCTGAAGCTGTTTTTTCTTTCAGAGAGCGGAAAGCACTGTGTGGACGGGTACCAGTCCACACAACGTCCTCTAACCCTACATTACGTGGACTTTTACTCTTCGGAGGTCCACACTATGTATGCCGGGCTTGCGCCAACCTGCTTGTCCTCCTTCCACATGTGCTTGAGGTACGCAAAGACCACGCGGGGGTGCTTGACGGTGGCCAGGGCCTCAAAGGGTGTGTCCTGGATGCTCTTGGGGTCTACGCCCAGCAACATCACCAGCGTCTTGTGGGAGAGTTGCTGCACAAGGGGGGATACAAACACAGGTATAAAGGTGTGGGGGGGGCAGGGGCTGGACGCCATATTCCCATAACGGTAGGGGGCAATATATGATGATACTGGTACATTTCTCGTGCCTTAACCACACATCAGAAAGGCATATTTAAACTTTCTGTACCATCTGTGTTCCCTGTTAAACGTAACGTAAAACACCGAGGCAGGTGCTAGAGTGAAAATAACCTGAAAGCCTGCACTTTTCACTTCTCTGCGACACGATTAAGTGGCTTTCCCCCTGCTGAAATGTGGGCGGAGATATCCTCCAAATCCCAGACGGATTTACGTCCCTTCATGAAATATGGACGGAGGGGATTAGTGATGCCACCGTGGTCCCAGAGCAGACAGAGCTCAACTCTGCTAACTAAGGACATCTGCGCTTACTATCCCAAGTCCGCACTTCCAGCACAAGCCTTGGAAATCTTGCGTTAGCCCTTGAAGCAAAAAAAAAAATCCCTTGGCTACAGGATGCGCACGTATGCTTGAGCCAAAAGCCTGTGAACTGTGCAGACCCGTCATACCATCAAAGTTTCTGCCACAGTCGGCTACGACTTTTCACCTGCAGTACGTATTTCTGTAAAACAGGGTCCAGGCCGAATGCAGTTGATTGGCTAAGACCTCCGCACTCCCAGGGAGGAGATCCTCACTTATTTACTTAACCATTTCAAGGACTGCTGGTACCCTGCTGATGTTATCGCATGTAGGTGTGCTGATTCCAGTAAAACTCAAAGTCAAGTGCTTACAGAAAGTTGGTTCATGGTTTGAAGTTTTGCCCGAGTAAATAGGCGACTAATACAGGAAACTGAATGCAAAATGTGTTTGGAACGCAACTTCAAATGTCTGCCCTGCTGAACCCTGAAAGACTAAACGCATTTGAGCAAGCCCTCTCTCTTGAAGATTCTATCATTCCATATCATCTGCCCATGTCTTGGTTTGCCATCAAATCTCAGCGTGAACAGGTGTTGTGTTTGAATGCAGCAATGAGATCCCTTTGGCTGGGTTACAATGTGTGTGAGCACAAGCCCGCACCAGCCCCATATTGCGGGGACAACTTCTTTTGTTAGGATATTCAGGACCGAGTTGTGGCGGTGAAAATTTGAAACCCTTGCCATAAGCCTGTTTCTTCTTTACCAACGATGGGGGGGGGCTCTCCACACAGATTACAGTGACCGTTGTTTACGGTTACGTTCGGTACATACCATGCGGCCCGTCTTGCGGCAAAGGCTGGCGTACTTGAGCCAGGTCCGCAGGTCGTCCTGAGGGTTGATGACCAGGGAGCGCACCTGGATGATCCGCTGCCAATCCTCCACGTTACGCTGGCACCCCTGTTCACCAAAAGGAGAAATCTCAGCCTTTATCACGAAGTAACAGGATGCAGTGACGCTATGCAAAATTTTTACACCACAGATGAAAAATTCTGATGGAATGAAGTTTTCGTTTTATCACAACGTTTGCCACACAAAAGTAAACTTATCCCGCAAAGTATGCTGAATTTGGTTCAGCGGAAGACATCTGACTTTAGTGTTATTACTGGTGAAAGTACGCCATAAAAGCAAAGCAAATCTGACAACTTTGATAGTTCATAGTTGCCAAAGACTTGTTTGGGGCAAAGCAAAGTTGTATTTCAGAAAAAAAAGTACAGCTTGGTACATTGGTAGAGTTTAAAGAGAAACTCTACGGAAAACATGTTTGCTCTAATTTTATCTGTTCAAATAAATATGGCAGCATCCACATCGAAAGACGTGCCATTTGTCTTCAGAGCTCAACTGTAATGAGCTAAAATGGGCCTTTTTCTGTTCAAGCCATGATGTGAATTCTGAACATGCTGAATGTAGATTGCGGCATTCTGAGAAAACAGAGAAACAGAAGGGAACCCTCGCCCTGTGTTCGTAGTGGATAAATGTCCAACAACCAAAATAGCCTACGTTGGCCTGCTCTGGTATCTTGTGGGTCACTTTAATACAGGTTTCAAATTAAGGATACTTCCTGAGTGGACTCATAAAAGAGAGTAAAGTTGCTGTTGCAAATCAAATCTTTGGAGTTGTGGGGGAAAAAAGGTTCCATTTGGTCTCCTAAAAAATCTTGAATGTTAACTGCTCTCTTGTTATTAAGCGACGTTTGACAGCAAAAAGCTAACATTACACAAGGCTTAAAGATAATCATCTGGGCTCTGACCTGGAGCCGGTCCCACCACATCTGCTTGATGATGTCGCGCCTCTCCGACACCAGCTTGTAGCGGATGATCTCCTCCAGCTCTGACAGCATCTGGGCCGACACCATGGCCCCGTAGGCCCGGTCGTAGCTCTCGCCAGCCATGGCCGTCAGCTCCGTGTCCAGGATGTCGCGCGCCTTGTCGATGCACTGGGGAGAGAGAGAGGGGGGGTTTTGCCCAGGAAGCGGGGCGAAGATTGATGGAGATAAAGGCAGCAACTCAAATGAGAACTATTTTACTGGACTGTTCAAGGCAGGGGCTGATCCGTTCGCAGAGGTAGATTCAGTATTTGAATAGGACTGATCTTGCGGGGATTAACTCCTATGGGGGCGTACTGTTAAGCTCTAGTACACATCACACGAATACAGAATGCCTGCTGACCAAGAAAGGACACAAGAGAACGAAAGAAATCCGCAGGCACTCGGAAAAACCAAATTCTCAGCCAGGTATTCAAATAACCTTTCCACTGCCTGACAACCCCAAACATCAAGGCACCAGTGTCGTGCAGCTAGCATGCACAGAATTATGCCAAGTGAAAGGGAAGAAAAAAAAACCTCTGCTTATCAGCTATTAATTCCACAAGTTTTACACAGCCATTTCATTTGTTCCATATCAACTTTTTTGTAAAGATGAACAAAGAAATTTATCGGAGCAGGATTTGAACCTGAGACCTCTGAATGAATTTGTTCGCTTAGGACATAACTCGCTTCATAATTGTTTCGTGTTGTTCTTAAGAACACGAACGGTGCAAAAGGAACTTGGTATTCACGGGCTAATACAAGCACTTGACATGTCTGTGATGGCATTGTGGTACTAAACTCATGCAGAAGTTACATTCATTTATGAACATGAAAAGTATGGGTGTGCATTTTGGTCATTCACAGCACCCAATTGGTAGAAGTTGCAGCCAAGGTACCCGTACATGTACAGCAAGACTTGCATGAGAGCACGGTGTCACCGTAATCGTGGCTTTTATTTCAGGTCCTAGAGTTGGTCTACACACCTGCTGAGCCTGGCCGAAGTGGTCCTGGTGCACGGCCAGCACCGCCCGGTAGAAGGCGCCGTCGTAGGACTCTCGGGGGATCAGGCAGGCGTACTCCTCCATGCTGTCCCAGTTGCCCAGCCCCCAGGCGGCGGCTGCCGCCATCCGGGCCATGCCCTGCCGCCCCTCGTCTGTCACCATGGGCCAGCGCTCGCAGGCCAGCTCGTGTAGCTGCCCCCTGAGTTTTCACGATAGAGAAATTTGGCTGAGTACCATAATTCCCTTAAACCACTTGCTAGAGTTTATCATTCCATGTCACACTTGTCCCCGACGATTTATTCTTTATCGACTTTTAAAACTTTTTTAAGTCCTCAACAAAGCTGGTCTTTAAGAATGCTGACCCTTGGTGGTCATTTGTTCAAGATTTGTGCGACACTTCTCACCATATTGTTGCTTTTTCAAAACTCCGAGACAATGTCGCGGCAGAGTATTTGCTACAATGCCCAGCTGTAGCCTGCAGCGCAGCCACTTAATGGTGACATACACACACTCAACCTAAAACTCTTTTGCATTGCTGTGTTTGTATAAACTCAACTTGAATCACTTGAGTGGGGACAAGTAAAGACGTCACATGCACTAAATCTAGAATGTGACTGAATGTGATAGAACATTACTGTCATATCAGATATACTTTTGAAAGTCCTATCATTACAATATTGAGCAATAACCAAGGGGTGTTAAGTTCCAGTTCATTACGAATAGCCTGTGGTTTTGAGTACTTGTAAAACAACTATAAGAATTAGTGAAGTGCTAGTAAAGTACTCAACTGTAAAGAGTTAAAAAGAGCTCTTAAAAGGCATCATCAGCACTAGTGAAGTACTAATGCAGTACTGAACTTCAACACTGCCCATTCGTACCATTTGCGAAGGGCCTCAAGGCAAAAAACACTGCCCAGGGCCAGCTTTGAGCTCTTGACTTGAGAGTACTAGTGAAGTACTTGACTTCGAGCCATTCTTATCATTCTCAAAAGGTCTGAATGCACTGTACCCTGCCCAGGGTCAGCTGGAAGTCATTCACTAGTTAAAGGCTTGTGTGGACAAGTGAAGTACTAGTGAAGTACTCAACCTCAATGCTGCCCATTCTTACCATTCTCCCAGTGCCTCCAGGCAACGCATCCTGCCCAGGGTCAGCCGGAAGTCATCCGGATCCTCCCGCTGCTTCTTCTCGTAGGCCAGGAGGGCATTATCCCAGTCGTGCAGCTTCTCGTACCAGGTCTCTTGGATTTGCTGTGACAAAGAGACGGAATGGATTTAATCCACTGGCACTTGAGTTACCTTGCATTACAAAGTACCTCTCTTCCCGGATGAATCTTTTGAACTACTGAGTTCAGAGGTAGTTTGGGAAGGTGCAGGAAGTTAATGGGTGCAGGGGTTTGAAGCAGTTAGAGGGGCCAACTAGTAAAGCTGGTGTTAACAGAAACTGAAGATTTGGAACCTGTGAAGTTGACCTAATCTGATTATTTGATGGTCATACTTGGCTGATCTCACCTAATAAAAATATGTGCGCTATCGGTAGAGATGCGTTTCTTGAGGACAAATAGACATTTTTCGGACTGTTCCCAAGACACAAGTTATAGTTAGGTAATTCGGTAATGACTCCGGGCCATATTGGTGATGATACATTCTGATCAACCCTTTACCTACTTTCATTAGATGTGGAATTCTACGGCAGAAGAGAAGAGACTGGTCAATTTTGAAGAGAAATCAGGCACTCTTTAAACTTCTTTAAATGGAGTTTTTGGTGATTTGTATCACTGATGGGGATACGTCGGACTACAAAGCTAAACTTCCATGAGAACTAAATAAAACAATGCCCTCTGTTGGGCGTGCAGATGTCTGGTCCATCTTACCAGCTCAGCTCGGTAGTTCTTCATGGCGTACTGTAGGACTCCATACGCTGCCTCTGGCTGGTGGAGCTTGTTGTTGATGCTAATGGAACAAGGCAAGAAGTCACCGTGAGAGATCACTGCATTAAAGTATCAGTCGAAAGAGGTGACTGCCATCTTTCGGCAAAGGCCATTTCTCGAACTTTAAAACCATCGCAATCTTTGGCATCGGGCTCTAGCTAGGTTGCTGAGTTTGGAGATACTGGCTCAGATGTGCTTAGTGTTTACTGTACAGATGTCAAAACTATGTGATTTCAAGCCATGCCTATGCTTGTGACTAGATTTGCACAGCGCCCTCAAGGGCAACTGCTCTGACCCAACAGTGCCTCATGTGAGACTTTGCCTCAGAAAAGACTAACACATAATGGCCGCAACCCAAGCAGGCACCACCACCTACGGATACGGCTCTGCATTACAGTGTATCAATGACAAAAACAGCCCTAGCCCTAAACTATCAGAGTAGGACATTGATTTTATCCTTACCTGATGAGGGCCTCCAGTATTTCAGTGTTGGGTCCGCGGTGGAACTCTTCCTCCTTGTAGTGTAGAGCCTTGGCGTAGGCCCTGCATTTGGAGGCGCACTCACCGAGCAGCATGGTATTGAGAGGCAATGGACCCTGAAGTGGGGGAAAAAAAATCCATGCAATAAAAGCATTTAGTGGGCTCTGCAGATATCTGTTACATATCTCTGTTTCACACAGATCAGGATCTCGATCAGTGATCCCAATGCTGGTTATGGTGTCAGCGAACCAATGTTGGATTGCTGATCGTGATCCAGATCCATGCGAGTCAAACAGGCCCCTAGATATGATGGTCACGCGAGGTATGCATGTGGCTGGTTCAAATGGCGGCAATGCTTTACAGACCTTTACCATGATGCTGCCAAGTTTGTCTTGTTCCCCGTAGACCTATTTCCAATAGTAATACAACTTCACACAGTGAAAAAGGGAACGGACTATAATTTCTTTCCAGCTTCATTTGGTTACGTTGCTTTGATTGATAAAAAAGCAAGATGGCTGCCCCATGACAGAGGTCTATAGATAGGCAACTGGGCAATGACACGGTCAGAACAGTATTTGCTTGGAACAAAGAGAGCCAACCAATTCTTCTTAGAACTGCAAACCTGAAAACCTGGATGTCTGTCCTTTTGCTGGAGGGTTTAATGAGAAATTCTACTCTCTCTTGGCCCAAATACTTTAGTTATCTGGGGGGGGGTGATACGTTACCAAGAACGGCCACTTTGTAAATGTGTAACAACACTGGAGTTTGCCACACACAGCAGATTTACTTATCAATCACTTGCAAATGGCACAAGTGCTGTGTTGTCCGTCACAGAGTCTAACTTTTTTTGGGGTGGAGGGGCGAGTTGTTACCTTGTCCGAGTGCTCCATGAACTCGGCCAGATTCAGCAGGATCTGCACGATCTCGGGGATGTCCTGGGATGTCAGCGCCTTCTGGAGACTCTGGATCAGGCTGTCCTGGTCCGTCTCGGTCAGCTCGGACCAGCAGGAGACGAAGGCCGCGTTGAAGAGATCCCTGAAGTGGGGAAAAAAAAAAAAACGAACTGTGGCCAACTGAAAAAATCCACAGCATTTCGGATGACGATGCACGGAGCCAGTTGGAACGGAGGACTGTTGGATGATGCCCGGTTGATGCGCGGTTGACATGGCTACGTCTGATCTAAGTCGAGGTCATTGCTGGTCGCAAAATAAGCGGACAGATGCTGACTACACAAGCACTAGTAGCCCTGGAAGGCCGCTCTGAATGTGGCCAATGATTAAACCTCCTTGGCTTGCACACACCTATTGATAAATCCCAGGAGACCCCAATCCTGTGGGGCCACTGCACTCATGCACGTGTCTTAACTTGAGCGCATGTGCACACCTTGGCGAGTCATGACACCCTATTGGTCGGAAAGGAATGAAATGTGTGCGTACCACCTATGTGTGAACAGGAAGGCCCTGTGGTAATGTCTCCTAATTCTTTTTGCCGGATTTATCCATAGAGAACCCGATACCGCCCTCAGTAGTTCATGCACTGACCCATTAGATTGCTCACCTTTGCCATGCACAAGTTTCTTAGCTCTCACCAGGCATAGCCTATGTGCTTGTGGAGCCAATGGCTTGAGGCTACAGCTACTTCCCACAGACGTGTGTGTTGCTGCCTGCCACGGCTGCATTATTCCGAAAACGGCCCTTGACTGGGAATGGAAAGATACAGGGGGGAGGGCAGGTGATTTTTACCTGGCCAGGGTGTTGTAGGCCTGGGCCAGGGCCCAGCAGGACCTCAGGGCGTGGGAAGGAGACTCCTTGAGCAGCTCCACGCTCAGACGCCGTAACCACTCCACCCAATCGTCGCGGGAGACGCGGCGAGTCACAGCCCAAGCCTGTGATGGATGGGTCAATCAATTTATCGAGTGACTGACAGATTAAGAGAGCCGATTCCTCAAGGAGCTTTTTACTTGCTTCCAAAAGCTTCAAGTTGAAAGTTAACCTTATTGATCCAAAGAACCACATCTAGAACTAAAATGCACTAAGGTTGAAAGTCTGTAAAGCAATACCAATCCAACTTTGAAGTGACTGAAATGGAAGAAAGCAAACCAGGCCAAGTATCAAAAAGAGCATTATGGGGTCCAACTCTTGAGTTGGTAAAAGACGAAAAAAAAAGTGGAGGCTGAATTACTATACATGTATTAACTCTTAATTATAAACAGATTAGTCTACTTGAACTACTAACCATTACTAGTGCCTGTACCAGTTTGAAGTCTAGTACTAAACTGGCATACCAGCAGTAGTACTATTATACTGTGAATAGCACTAGTACTAGTCTGTGGTCTATTAATAGTTTAACAGTACTAATATACTGGGAGTACTAGTACTTTTTCTGAATTCATGCACATTAATCTGTACTGAACTGAATCATTATAATAACAAGTACTGATCAGAAATCAGTTGATGAAGGATTAGTTTGTTTTGAGAAATCAATGATTTGATTTGATGAGCATATAACTTGCTGCTGACCTTGGCAAGGTTACTGGTCTTGACGTGGAGTTTCTTGAGGCTGACGGGCTCCATGCCGGCGTTGCCGTCGTCCCTCTGGTTGGCCTTCTTGGCTCTGGTGCGTAGCAGGAGCAGCTCGTCTTCGGCGATGGCATTACCCTGGATAGGAAAACACAACAGATTGACTGTTTGCAGGGTTTCAGCCATCGGCCACCACTGCCGCCCGAGAAGGAAGTGTTTTGCCCCTTAAAACTCTGGTATGTTTTTAAAATTGGCTCACTAAAACTCTGCATTTGGCTACAAGTTGAGGAAGTGTGGCCATATCAAACTCACACATGTTCTTTTGATTCTTGCAAGAACATTCTCTCCATCCAAAGCCCAACCTTGACCATGCCTGGAACCGAGCACGGCGAAACCAGCCATCAAGCCAAGAAAAATTCAAGGGCTTGAATGTGAACTTTGCTGTTAACTTAAAGCTCTGAGAACGTTAGCGCTGGTTTAAACCAAAACTTCCAAGATTCGAGGCAGTGCAAGAAGTGGACTGAATACTTTCACAGGTGAACTGGGCGACGATGAAACTTTGAGGTAAAAATGGACAAGTTGGGTTGTGTCATTGTTAACCAAGGTGCACTCCAGGCTGGATTCGAACCTACCTTGATGATCTTCAGTACCAGGGTCTCGTACTTCTGGTGGGCGATGCGGTGCTTGACCAGCACCTTGTTGACCATAGGCACAAAGATCTCGTACTTCTTGCCCAGCTGCAGGACCAGCGACTCCAGGGTGTCCATGGCGATGCTCCGCAGCTCGGCTGTGGTGTCCAGGGTGCGGACCAGCGGGTGGATGATGCGGGAGGCAAAGTCTGTGAAGTCCAAGGTGCCGCAGAGCAAGTCGATGGTTTCCAGGGCCGCTCTGGAAAGCAAAGGGGAAAAATGTTAGCCAAACTATGGTAGTGGACAAGATTTGTTGCTCAAGTAAAGATCAAGTTTAAAACTTGAAACCAAGGAGACAGCAAAGAAATGGAAGCAAAATCAAATTTCAAAATAAACTTCAGGTCTAATTTAATAGTGGAAAGAAAAATGAAAAAAGTCTTGACAAAAACAATGGCTTGTCCACATGGGTAAAAAGCCAAAAAATGGGTTTTGAATCTTGAATGACGACCATGAAACAAAACACATCCTATATGACAATCAAGTAATCGGCACATGATTATCACATGTTAATCATGTGATCGGTGCATGATTATCACATGTTAATCATGTGATCGATGCATGATTATCACATGATAATCACGTGATCGGTGCATGATTATCACATCACCAGCTCATGCTGTCTCATAACAATCACAGCATTGGCAAACAAGGAGCATGTGACAGACGCATTTCTACGCATTCCAACCTTTTGTATTGTGTGGTGGTAATCAATGCCTGGTCCCTACACGATTAGATCGGACTGTTCACCAGCTTGGCACATGGCTTGTTAACCACTTGATGCCAGATGATGTGTAAATACACATAATTTTCCTTATTTGTTGCACGGAGGACGTAGTTGTTTCACTGAGGACATGTACACTCGTTTAAGCGCAATGGAAGAATTTGCGGGCGAAAAAACCCGCCCAGCAGCTTTTTGCGGTAAGAAAATCTGACGCTCACTGGTTAACGGGGTCACATGACCAACACAGTCCACTAACGCTGAAGTCTTAATAACTCTGTTGTGTTGTTAATGATTGCTACATGACTGCCACATAACCAGCATGAAGACCACATGATTGGTACATGACAGCTGAGTGGGCATCACATGATCAGCACATGACCCGTGCATGCTTACCTCCTGACAGTAATGGGAATGTCATTGGAGTCGAACAGTTTGACCACCGGCGGCAGCAGCAGGTGCAGGTAGTCGTCCAGGTTGGCTCCAAACTTCTGCATGGCATTCAGCAGCTGTGGAGAGAGAGAAAACACAAGATCAGACAATAATAGCAACGTGTGAGTTCTGACAACTTTGGATAAGAAGCCATTTTGGTTCCAAAGTCTGCACGCGTGCTTACACACAAAAATGATCCATCCTCTGCCTTTGATCATTCGTGCATATTGTGTCTCCTCAAAGCACTGAGACTCACAGCCATTTCCTGATGTGTGCAAACCCACGCGCAAAAAAACCCTTGGCAAGTTCGATCAGCGGCAACTCGTAAACCACCGGTCAATTTTCCCTGATGCCCGATGCAAATTTGAAGCATAGGTTACCAGTCAAAATCGCCCACTGGTTGACTATTAGTCGCTGATCCACCTTGCCCCCTTCATTGTGGGAACAACATGGCCTCAAACACCTTTGTGCCACAAATTACCTCAGGTCACAACTCTGTCTACCTAATGCTCTGCGTGCTAGGTCAAGATATCAGCCTCATTTTTTTTTCATGCACAGTCAGTGTAAATGAAGGTACCACAGAGTTCCAGACCAAGGGTCAGACTGTGTGTGAATCGAGCTGGCTTCGGCCAGGAGTCACACGTGTAGCATTGAGAATCAGCCGCGGCCTGGCTGCTACAGCCTTTGGCTGGCCTATTTGGACACTGTAGCCCATATACCTTGGTGGTGACGACGCGACCCTGGCTATTGTCATGCATGAAGACGCGCAGCATCTGGGGCACGATGCGGGGCAGGTAGAGCTTGAACTCCCCGCCCAGGGCTACCACTGTCTGCTCTACCAGGAGTATCACCGTGTTTTGCAGTGGGCTGTTCACCGTCCAAAAATCCTGACAAGGAGCAATCAAATGTAACCACAAATTTAAAATGTTTACTGCAAGAGTGGTTAAAGCTTATTACAGTTTCGATCCACTTCAGGAGCCTGTTATGCAGTAAGCACACCAAGGAGTACACTCACTTCCATGTTATGAAAAAAGTTTAAGTTAAGTACTTCACTAGTACTTCACATGCTCCATATGTACAATCCAAAAGCCCCAGTCAAAAACTTGTCCAAATTTTCTATCACACAGAGAGTGCTCTGCTGTTGTTCACCTGCTGTTAGAAATGACAGTACCCAAGAAAGCACTTGCGTTGACTAGTGAGGTACTAGTGTAGTACTTGACTAAAGCACTGCTTCAAGAACAGAATGCTTCTTGGATTCAATCGGAAGTCAGATTTGGAATGAAAGCGGGTTTAAAATTTACAGGGGCATGGTGAGATCGGTGTGGAGATCAGCTGACCAAATTTGAATGTAAACCGGTGAAAACTCACTCTGATGAGGTCAAAGATGTCGTCCAGGTAGTTGCGGATGTGCTGCTTGACGATGCCGATCATGATGCCCAACTGCTGGAAAAGGAACTGTAAAAATAAAAAGACACATGAATGGCAAGGTTGGAAAAAAACAGTTTATAGAGATGTAATTCGGTTCGGGAAGCAAACTAAATTTCCAGACTCGATTTGGAAACTCCCCTTAGGCAAACCAGTTCACAGAGATGTGATTCCTTTGAAGAGAAGAGATGCAATCAGGGAGGTAAAATAAATTTCCAGACTCGATTGGAAATTAAGAAAGAGGAAGAAGCTAAAACATGAGATGACTGGTTGACTGCAGGAATGGCCTCGTGATGCGACACACTGGCCACGGGAATGGCTACTTGAGGTATCACACTGACCACTTGAATGGCCTTACAAGGCTGACACTCCAATTCAATTTCAGGTATGGTCTCATGAGTTGACAGGATTGACCTCACAGGGTGGACCAGTAATCGCTGGAAAAGCCTAATGACGTGAAAACCTTGATCACAGATACGGCCACACGGCCACACGGCCACACGGTCAATATTCTTTCTGACTCACCTCGCGGATTCCAGCATCGCAGGTGCGGATGACGTTGAGGTAGGTGGGCATGATCTGGGGTAAGAACTGCACGCACTTGACGCCCAGGCTCTTGAAGATGAAGGTGATGCCCTGCACCACGCCGGTGTGGTGGTTGGCCAGGGAGGAGTCCCGCATGATGCGCATCAGGGTCGCTATGGCCACGGCCGGGTAGAACTCCTCCAGGGTGGCGCTGCCCATGTTGACCAGCATCTCGCTGGCCGTGTACTCCCCTGATGGGACAAAGGCGAGGAAGGAAACATTTTCGAGTTGGCTTGAGTCAATAAATAAGTCATCTAGAGTTGGTCATGAGTAATCATAAATATATCATAAGAAGTTATCTTAAGTCAATCAAAAATCATCACAAGTCATTCGAAAGTCACAAGAAATTTATCACAGGTCATTACAAGTCAACACAAGACATCACATGTCCACCATAAGATATCACAAATCGATCAAAAGTCATCACAAGTCAATCCCAAGTCAACGCAGTTCATCACAAGACATCACAAGTCGATCACAAGATATCACAAGTCAATCCCAAGTCAACGCAGTTCATCACAAGACATCACAAGTCGATCACAAGATATCACAAG